GCTATCAAATTGCGCGGGCTGACGTCACACTTGTGGTAGTGTTGGGGCAATGGGCCTGTTGATGTTTCCATGGAAACCCAATTTGACACGTGTAAAAGCAGCGTGCTGCTATCACCGGTGAAACAGGGCCCTGGTAACACTGTGAATGTTACCAAATGCCGTAAATAGAATAGTACGGCACTTTATAAGATTGGGCCATGGAGCCAAATTCAACACTTGACGGATTAAGTCAATATAAGACAATTAGTGATATGACAATGAACAGTTAACAATGAATAGTTAGGTACAAGCACATATTAATTGAACTTCCCCCAGCTCAGTCACCAACCACGGAATTTCGGAGAATACTTACAGTCTTCCGCGGTTGGTACGTCAAGGAACTCAAAAGGCCATACCATACAAAAAGTTGGAGCTATAGCCATCAAAGCCCAAGGTATATAAAAACACTGGTTGGCCTTACTATGTAAAATAACAAAAATAAGATCACCATACATACACGACACCGATACAACTGCACAAACCAAGGCCGGCACAAACGCGCCGCAGCGGCACAACGGGCACAACCAACTAACGCTGAAAATGGCGACAATGCCAACTGCCAATCGGAGCGCCGCCGATGTTTCCAGAACATTACTTTTCTTCAAAACTCTCCAAAACTCTCACCTGAAGAAACTGGTTTTAAGCTTCAGCTAGAAATGAGGAGTGTAGATAGGCATCGCGGAAGGGAGTACACCTAACACTCGTAGCATTACACTCGGTAAACTCTACGATACACTCCCCGGACGCAGCCGAATTGGCAACTCTACCGGAAAACTCTTGGAAATACTCTTCACTACGCTAGGCTTACCGACATTTGAGGGAGTTTCGAAGATTTATTAGGCGGGAGTTCCAGAGAATTCTGAGAGCCTAGAGTAAATTTTTCTCTCAGTGGGTGGTGTGTAAAGCAACTCCGCAGACTTTGCACTTACTTGCAAAGCCTGCGGACTGAATTTGCAGACTTTGGCTGACAATGAGCAATGCATTGCTGACTGATATCATTTATTCTGTGTTTGTAGCACAAAGTACAGAAGTGGCACATACATTGTTACTTTGAAAACCTGATGTCAGTTTTGATGTAGAAAATTGGTGGCTGACGTTGAGTCCTGACGTATTGTGAGTAGTGTACATCTGGTGCATTGAGCGCAGACTTGAGACCAGTGACGTTTGTATCAGTAGACTGTGTTTGAGTCTACTTATATGGGTAGTCATAAAGCAGGCGTCACACTTCTTTTTGCAACCAAGGAGATGCGCTATACCCAGAGATGCTTTCTCACCAAACCTTACCAAACCAAACCTAACCTACAGCGCCTCTCTTCGTTCGTTCATGGTTGCAAAAAAAAAACAAGTGTGACGCCTGCTATACTACTACCCTTATATGGCCTTGGTTTGAGTGTGGTGACTGAGAAAGCTGGTGTGTATAGCCATGCAATAAGTGTTTTGAAATATATTTTTGGGACAGTATTGAAATGGTGTGTTTTGGCCATCTGGCATGGATGATGGAAAGCCACTAAGTCAACTTCAGGAACGCTTCTTCATTATGCTCATCTAAAGCACAATGATCTATTTTCTCTTCGCAAGGATTGATTCCTAATTCACTGTCAATTATAACCTGGGCCAGAAGGTTTCGCTGAGCCACAGGGTTCATACAGATTCATCCACAGTGCTCAGCAGTGTATGTTTTCAGATTTCAACAGACTGTATTTTTTTCTGTATGTACATATGCATCATGCAAGGGTACAACAGATGCGGTATTTGGTAAGCAGTTGGCAGCAAGGTGGTGTTTGTACTTATTGGCAGAACTAGTTGAGCAGGACTAAAACTATCCTAGTTTCTCTCCAGTTTACTCAGATCCGTCTCAACACATTGAACATATTGAAAGCGTTCATCCATGAAATGTCTGCATGTATACTCATTTCCGAGAAGGCACGCTCGTCGCTCATCCATTGCCGAGCAGGCACGTGCGTGCCCATCGCCGGCGCGCATTAGCGCGCGTCCATGGCTGGGGCGCACGCGCGCGGCCATGGCCGGCATGCACGCGCGCGCGCCCATCGTCGGCACGCAAGCGCGCGCCGCGTCCTTACCCGGCGAGCACGCCGCGTCCGTACCCGGCGCGCACCCGCGCGCGTCCACAGCCGGGGCGCACCCAAGCGAGTTCGTACCCGGCACGTACCGGCGCGCACCCGCGCGCGTCCGTACCCGGCCCGCACCCGCGCGCGTCCACTGCCGGCACTGACAGACCCTGACAGACGGGCGTGCTGCCGTCGGCGGTCCTGACAGATGAGCGGCGGGCCCGGCTCCCGCAGCTCCGGCAGCGGGCGGCAGCCATGGTCGGCATACACGCGCGCGCGCCCATCGTCGGCACGCAAGCGCGCGCGCGTCCATAGCCGGCGCGCACCCGTACCTGGCGCGCACCCGCGCGCGTCCGTACCCGGCCCGCACCCGCGCGCGTCCACTGCCGGCACTGACAGACCCTGACAGACGGGCGTGCTGCCGTCGGCGGTCCTGACAGATGAGCGGCGGGCCCGGCTCCCGCAGCTCCGGCAGCGGGCGGCAGCTCCGGTGACTGTTCCGGCAGCTCCGGCAGCGAGCGGCGTCTCCGGCAGCGCTCAGCAGCGGCGCCAAGCAGCAGCAGCGGCTGAGCCAACAGGCGGCCGCGGAGGCACGCCCCCCCCCCTTTGCACATTGTTCGTCCATGGAGATGTCTGCAAGCACGCCCATTGTTGAGAAGGCACGTGCATCCATGGCTGAGCACTGAGCAGGCACGTGCGACCCCTTTGCACATTGTTCATCCATACATATCAATATAATTTACCTTATGATTAGTGTGAGTCTTACAAAATCTTAAACTCAGAAATACCACAAGGCAGGCTGCCTGGGTGAGTTGCTAATATGAACATAATGAACATTATACATTAGTGCAGTACCTATAAGCATCCATGCTGTGTGAAGGACTTGGCCCTCACGTTCATTCGTTTGGTGATTGCACATGGTGGCATGTGTACCAATTGTTCTCCCTAACCCTTCTTACAACTTTGACTAGCAAGTAGAAGCTGGCAAAATGCAAGGAGCTTACAAAGCATGCCTATATGTAGATAACTGAGGATGATTCTCTCAATTGAAGCATGATCCGCACTCAGCAGCTTCTTCTGTTCTGTTCCACAAACTAAAACTGAAATGCCTCAATTTTCCTCAAAATATATTCATTTATCACTCATAAACAACAAAAATATACATTAAGTAGGTACCAGGGCAATAAAAAACATACAAGTTACATATTTTTTCATGTACCTACCGTCCTTTCACAGCAGCAATATGTAGAAACGCACCAAGACGTTCACGGAGAGCCCACCCATAACAAACTATAGTTGAAGCCGGGGCTCTGCTGCAGCAGCAGGGGAGACGTACAGGACACAGAGGTCATGTCACAACATCATGTTGTACAACCTGTTGTTCGAAAAAAACAGATCAACATAGATCTTGAAAAACTGTAGGTAGCGCTTTCTTCAGTCACTTAGGTAAGCTTTCTCGCAAGACGTTACATTAGATTGACCACTCTTGAGTTTGACAAAATAATCAGATTGAAACTTAGCTCTTGTGCCTGATGCACTTACATTTCAATTTATTGAAATAAAACACTCAAATTTACCCTTGAAAATTGTTGACATTTAAATGATATTAATCAAGATTTGATGATCAGCAAACAAGCTCAAGCTATTCAAATCACACCCAAATCAAAATAATAACTTTGGCAATGTTGATAACTCTTGCTGTCTTATTGAAAAGCAAATCTTCAATTTGTTCATATCCAAATTCAATGCCAAGCACTGAAATCTTGTTGCAAGGCCCTAAAAACAACAGACAAAAACAAAACAGACAAGGCCCGTCTTGTGGAAATCGACAGTGCGGTGCGGCGGCCTTGGCGAAATTTCCCAAGGCTGCTCTTTGTTTACATTTTAGTGATGGGCCAACTTGGCCGCCCAAGTACTTGTTTTGCGTGAGTAAGTACAATTTTGTCAATTTTGAAACGGCTATATCTCGCAAATTTTGGTACCGATTTACATTTTATGCATATATTTAGAATCGGCAGAGTCTGGGGAGTTCATTGATTGGAAATTTATGCCGATTCCTTTCAATTTTTAAACCCTGATAATCCCTTTAAGGAGAATGAAATATATTAAATATGTTATGCTTAGGCTCTCAGGAGAAAAGGATCAACAAACGTTCTGCTGCAAATTAAACAATGCAGCAAATTAGCTATTAATTAGGTACTAAACGTAATTAGCGAGACGAAAACGGCGCTTTTGTTTCAGTTATTTTTTTAGGGGTTTCAGATATTTATAGAGTTCAGTGGGTTGTTTCTGAGGAGATGTGGAGATGTGAATTATTAATTAATCACACTTTATTAGTATATAGGGCCTTGCACTTTATCATCTGGATTAAAAAAAAAAAACGTTTCCTGCTGGGTGCAGAAAGGTAGGTAGGTGCATCGCCAGGTTCTATCACCAGGATTGGAGCAGTTATTACAGTTGAAAGTCAAAGTTGGCTGTTCATGTTTAGGCCCTGTTCTTTTTTTGGCCATCTACCCCATATTGCAGTTGTGATGACAAGCAGTTTTCAGTGTTGTTTTGTGATCTTTGATGTCATCAATTGGTGTCATTATTTTTCGTCAACTAAAACGTATTTGAACTTTCCATTCAATCGACTCAATCATACGAGTCACTCTAATTTTCGGGAATCAAATCAGTCAACCAGTCGCTAAAGTCAAACGAGTCAGTCAACCAGTCATCTCGAAAAGTCAATCGACTCAATCCAATCAACTCAAAATACGCGTTGAATCAAATCAATCAATTCAATCGACTTGATTGGTATACAACCCTGGATCAAAGAGACTTCGACTGCTGTGTAAATTCTCATGACCTGTTGACCACTAAGAGTCAACACTTTACCCCTCTGTCCGTCAGATCACGCCCAGCATGGTGATCCAGCACCCCCGGTACGACCCGGAGACAGTCGACAACGACCTGGCTATGATCCGACTGCGCGCCCCTCTGAAGCCGTCCGAGGCGACCCCCGTGTGCCTGCCGCGGGGCCGCCACCCCCGGCCGGGCACCAAGTGCACCGTGGCAGGCTGGGGGAAGACGAAAATTACTCACCTGTTCGGCTCGGACGTACTCAGAGAGGCGGAGGTGAGATTGCTTCTTGTGGCAGCCGAACATTAGTTCCTCGCCTCGTGTGAATTTCTTTACGAAGGTGCGTGATATTTAGCAGCATTGCGATCACGTAAAGCTATTGAGAACAATGTAATGATACAAGAACTACAATGAATGTTCAGAAGCTTCGGATTCTTCGTCTGTTTGGAGAGCAGCTGTTTGAACAGCAATTGTTGTCACTTACCTCTACCTAATGAGTTATGAACAATGGACCATACCTTCCTCACTCCGTATGCCTCTCACTGCCCGTCTGAGCCCCCCCCCCTGTCCCTCCCTAACTGACCACTGATCAACCCCTCCCCACGCGCAGGTGCCCGTGGTGCGCGACTCGCGGTGTCGCGCCACCTACGCCGACTACCACATCACCAGCAACATGTTCTGCGCCGGATACAAGAAGGGCCGGGTGGACGCCTGCGCCGGCGACTCCGGGGGACCGCTCGTCTGCAAACAGGGCGACGGGTGAGAGGGGAGGGATGTGGGATGGATACCAAGGCGTGCATAGTCCTAAGGCTTTCTGGGAATAATTATACAGTTATGGCCTAGGAGGAATAGTGGTTTGGCTATGTATGAAATGTAATAACCGACTTCAGATATCAGTGGCACTTGTTTTTGTTGGTGGTTCTTACGAGTAAACAACCAGGAAATAAGTCGGTTAGATAGCTTGGCCTATTCAGTGCAAATGAGCCATATCATGATAAGCGCTTTCCGAACGATGATGTGCTAACAGGTATCTACTTTTATTTCAGGTGGTCCATTTACGGTATCACTAGCTTTGGCGAGGGCTGTGGCGCCAAGGGCAAGTACGGTATCTACGTAAAACTGGCCAATTACCGCAAGTGGCTGCGTCACGTGATACGGCGCTACACCAATCAGAGGCGAGCGCGCAGGCGGCGCTCCAAGGTCGCCCTGCGGCGCCCGAGGCTCAAGGTCAAGCGGCCGGCCAATCAGGAGTCGTGATGTTATACGGAGGGTATCGGTTCGAATCTCGACAGCGCCGTCCTTCTTTTTTGATAGACGATTTGTCGGGACTCATCCTCTGGAGGACAATGGTGACTGACAGTGTTTGTGACTCTTGTGCCTCCTTCTACGCATCACTTACTGTCCGAATTATGTTTGTGAGAAGCCTGTAAATGGCATGTGAATGTCCCCGGTCAGCGCGCTGAGCTGAAGCTGGTGGGATGTAAAGGATATGTGCCCGGAGCGCCTAGTCATATATTTGATGTTGTGTATATAGATGTTAGCTATTATTTATGACTGAAATGTGACACGCATGGACCCAGTCTGTGCCCATTCATCGCTATCCTACTGCCTGTTGTAAGTGCAACTTGGTTTCCAATTATATGGATTATATAATATTGCATTTTACCGTTTTTATTACGTTTATGAACTGTTTGACCCATTTATTACCCATTTCTCGTACCAATGGATAGCTTCGACGAGTCGTTTTATTCATTGTAACTACCACCCCTGGAAGATATATCACGATGCAGTCATACCCCATTAGTCGTGACTCGTGATGCCGCTCTTCTGGAACGCAGAAATATTTGACAAATATCTACATTCTCTGTAAATAATCACTGCTGCATATTTTGCACCCATTCTGTGTTGGTTTGTTTACCACAGTGACAGGCCATAACAGGGGACGATGTTAGAAATTGTTCGCTGAACTCTTGAAACCTCCTCATCTGTATCTGTCAGCATATTCGTGGCATTCTCCCTGTTTTTTTTTTTATTATTCTCATCACGGTAAAACACATCGGTTGATTTCGCCTTATATTTAGCCAACTCGTCATTAGAAATAGACAAAGGCCAGCGAAGGAGGGTGAACTAGTGGAATTTACACGTGCTGCTACTACGTTCAGTAGGGGGGACGGTGAACTACCCTGGGTAACTCCTGGAAGAGCTCGAGATGCAACAACCGGACGTGACAGATCTCGACGTAACATGAAGTACATTTGACGTGTCAACAATGCGTCTGTAGTGATCTACGCGCATTTTTTCGAGTCACAGTCACGGGTAACTAATAAGTAGCTAGAAGAAGATATTACGCAAAAAGAAAGAGCACAGAAGACCCACATAACTACAATCTTAGACACACAAGCCGTCTATTCGAACGCAGCACTGTGCATTCCTGGGTGCGTCTTTGGGCAGTGACTAGTGCAAAACACGGCCTTTACCGTTAAAAACAGGGTGACACCCACGTTCAGAAGGGGTGCCAGCCCGGGTGCATGTTGGGTGCAGCCGGGTGCGGCCAGAGGCCGGCATGGGGTGCATTTATTGTCCTGATCTCAGCCACGTAGAGCCGTTGACGACTCTTCAATAATCGCACATGTTTCGTATCGGCCCTAAGCCCTAACTACGTGCAAAGTCTAGTCATTGTACATACAATTATCAGGTGAAGTCCAGTTCATTATAAAGCTGCAACTTTGCAGTTGCCTTCGTTGACAGTTAAATACGGTATTATCCATAGGTACTCAGATTATGCATAGAAAAACACTCGTAGCACTCAGTTTAGTAGTGTGAAGTAAGGGTCAGGTTCTGTACAAGTCTCTTAATTCTAGCTAAACAGTCGCAGTTATGAAGTGCACCAGCCTCTTGCGATAAACTCTCGCTAAAATACAGCTTCTCGTAACAACATCAGCTCATAACACGGCCTTCCATTCACACCAAGTTCGAGAGAAAATCGCCAATAAACAATATATGTCTGCCGATCATGTTTCATAGCAAGAAGTCTCATTTTTTCACACTCCGTTGCGCTTCGTGCCACTCGGAAATCGTATCCTCGAACAGCTAACTACTTCTTTCATCCGTGTTTAGCTCGGTACATTAGCAAAACCACTTACAGACACGTGACGACACCCCCAGCAAATCAAATTTCGCTGCCTTTCACCATGTTCAAGGTGACAAAATGCATATTAGGTAATGTCCTGTCACTAAATCGAACTTGCTAACTGCACGCAGTATTACAATTCTCTGTCAAAAGTTTGCCTCGCAGACCGTCGCACACTGCGTTGCAATGACAACGGTAAAGGCCGCGCCGACGAGCTGGGTTCACTTGTCTCCCTGTGTGTCGCTCCTCCACGGGGCGGTGTTGGTGTGACGTCATCTAGTGAGGTGTGTGACGTCACATACGCCGGGTGTAGTTACCGGGGAAGGTTCCAAACATACCGGTCCGCATGTTGGTGCCCACGTACCTGTCGAGACAGAAAAAAGTCGAGTTATAGGTACAGTAACGACATAACGTCTCATCTATCCACTGTTCACTAGTGAGACTAAACGATAGTTTGGTGCAATGTATTGGAATTCTGTCCAGGTTATTTCGCCCAATATCGATCCCATATAAGCCTCCCTTTACAAATAAAGCCTTGAACAATAAAAAAGGACCGCTGCGCTAGGATTCATCAGGCCGATAAATCAAACGGTCAACCACAGAATGACAGTATAAATGATGCTGGCAGGCGAGGGGGAGGGCACATTTACATCATGCCAATTGTCACAAGACTCGCGAGTTATCAGCAGCATTAGCAGCAGTAGAGTAATCATCTATTCATCTCCTTACCATCCATCTGGGCACTGCTCCAGGACCTGGATCATGTCGCCCTCCTCGAGGTCCAGCTCATCCTCGTTCTGATGCCGGTACGGGAACATTACGCGGTACCTGAGGGACAGGGCGCAGCTACTGTGTGTTCGTGTGGTGGTGTGGGACTACCAGGGGTTTGTGAGGAGTCGCGAAGCATGCCGCGGTCACGGGTAATATCCATGGGGTGGGGAAGCTAAAGCACCGTTCACGTGACGGCCTTGATCGGACGATAAGTTACGAGCCTAAAAAGCTTGGAGATAGTGTTCGCGTGATAGTTCTGAAACGACGATCTATATTTTCGCTGACAAGCCCCGAAGCTAAGGAACACATCGAAACTCAATGTTGCATGTTTTAGGCTAAAAAGGTGTTCTCTTAGCTTAAAACAACGTCGCAATGTCTCACAGTTTTTGGGGACACTTTTTAACACTACAAACTTCTCTACTGCCTCAGCTACCTCTGTCTTCTCGCCCTGTCTTCTCTGGGACGGGACAGAAAGACCTCACCATCAAAATCACCATCATCACCACAAACCCTGATATCCCCACTCACAGCATGGTGTTCTGTTTGACGTCCACCCTGAGCTGATCGCGTTCCCCGGGCGCCCTGAGTTGGTCTCGCTCCCCGGGCGCACGCAGAGACAGACCGTCCATCACCAGACCGTGGGCAGCCGGAGCACCCACCGGCTTCTGACGCGGGCCACCTGGCGGCGACACGGAGAAACGCAGCTTCAGAATAACGCCGCAAGTGCAGTCGAAACGGCAAAACGGGCGAGAAATGTCGCTCCACAGCGTTGGTGGATTATCATAAGTTGAGAACCAAACACCTGTCCGTGCTTCTATCCTCAGGATACTGAAATCCTTCTCCTCCACGCCACAATCCCCTTCCGGGCTGGGCAGGCAACTTTATCTCATGCGGGCTGCTCCCTTGGAGCGGCACCGCTGCTTCTGAGGGAGCGCACCCCGTAGCCGGGTGCAGTGAGTGCCTTGGGGCTGGGTGGCCTGACCTCTGGACGGGCTCAGCCCCGGCGACTCACTAGGGTGCCTGCCCAGACCAATGTCTCCCCCTAATTCCTGTCATCCTTCCGGCTCTGCAATGGTCTTGTCGACCGAAAGGGCCTAACCCAACAAAACAAACAAAACAAGAACCAAACAATAGGGGAAATTTGTTGAATACCTATCCGTTTTATCAAAACAACGCTGAGCTGCGATGAGATTTCCATAGGCTACATAAATTACACACAAAGGCAAGTTTACCGGCCCATTTGTCTGATGACGCGCCTAAATATAAGTAAACCATTAACCTTCCAGGCGGTGGGGGGGGGGCATTTTTTTGCCCCCCCCCCCCTTTAGTTTTTTTCGATATATCTCGAGAACCGCTGCGCCGATCGTCACCAAACTTTCGGTACCCTCCCGGGAGCAGCTAGCGCACATGGTGACCAAATTTTTTCCAAAGGCTATGATAGGTTGGCCGCTAATGACGTCAGAGTGACGTCATTTTTGCCATTTTCGACCCAAAAAAAGGTTTCGCGGGAAGAGCTGTCAGGCCTACAGCTTTAGAGATATAGAAAAATGTTTTAGACATAAAAGGTGTAGAATTTAAAGGGCTACAAAACTGCTATTTCGGTTTTTCGAATTTTTTGGATTTTGACCCCCAAAAATCAAAAAATAGATTTTTTGAATATAATAGCCAGAAAATCCAAAAAGTTTTTTGAATTTCGAAAAAAACGGAATATATGTGATAGCCCCTACCGCCTTCTACCTACATACCAAATTTGAGATCGATACCTCTTTTTTTTGGCCAAGTTATAGCGAAAAAACTGTTCAAAATTGATGACGTCAAATTTTCAAACTCAATTTTTAGCAATCCTAGACCTAGTAGCGCAAAACAAAGACCACCATTAGACTCCCCGTGACGAGCTGCATCGAATCGATACCCATTTTATGCAAAAATATCAACTTTGAAATTTGACCTTCTTTGACCTGACCTTGACCTGACCTCCACCAGAAAGTGACCTAAACCGTACCTGATGGTCTTATAACCAACACCATTGAGTTGGAAATGAAAAACTGGCCATAAAACATGCATCGCATAACCTTAGTAAAGTTGGGCTCATGTGGTGACCCTTGGTGACCTTTGGTGACCTGACCTGTGACCTGACCTGGTATGACCAGTGACCTCTAATAGCAACATATGTACTAGACAACTGACGCCTTATCGCTGATTTTCGACAAAATGCGTTTTACTCGGTGTTATAGCGCTTTCCCTAGAAGCCCCGTGAACGATGAAACATTTTATCTTTGACCTGACCTGTGACGTCATCGGTGACCCCGAGGTCAATGAAATTTGGTTTCCCTCGACAAATTTGACAGGGCTATCGAACGCCGTTTGAATTTTCCGGATCCGTCCAGTAGTTTCGGAGATACGGGGGGGGGGGGCAAAAAAGTGCCCCCCACCGCGCGGAAGGTGGCTGGTAGGCCCACCGCCTGCCGGGTTAAACATAGGAAGGTCGCTGAACCCCAACCGCTCATCAGTTGTGACAACGCCACATATCACTCACCGTCGCAGTGGTCGGCGGTGAGCGGCTCCACATAGCTGGCCGGGAATATGCCGGTGGCGTCCCCACGGCGACCCTCGTACCAGTTGTCGTCCACCCGGCGCAGAATTGTCACCACGTCACCTGGAATGGAGGGGAATGGTAACCACGTCACCTGGAATGGCGCAGGATGGTCACCACGTCACCTGGAATAATACAACGGAATGGTCACCACGTCACCTGGTATGGAATAGTCATCACGTCCACTGGAATGGTTATATGCCATATTGAAGTTGAAACGGTGGTAAGGAATGATTGACACGTCAGCTACAGTGAACAGTGAATATTTCAGTGAATATTCACCAAGTCACTTGGAATGGCTGGAAATATCCATCATATCAGCTCGTCGCTATAAGCCCTTCATTCCTTCAATTCCAACCGATTACTACCAGCAAGACATCCCAAGTGGCATAAGGGGCAGGTAGGATGTCTTCCTTCGACACTCCACCATTGCCACACCAACTACCGGCCTTCGTCCGTACCTTTATTGAGTGACAGCTCCATGGCCGACTGGGCACTGAAGCGGTGTTTCGCCCTGACCTGAGGTCGGGACGACCACCGGTCTGCTGACCGCTCCCGGGGGTCAATGACCTGTGGACGTGGGACCACAGAGGTCAGATAGGGCCGTGCGGGGTTACACAAAGCCATCCGGAGTTGATGGAAAAAAAACTGATCCATGATAACACCGGACAAGAACAAAAACTTAAGACACAACTATAAGACATACATGGCCAAATAAACACAAACGGTGCCGATATCACAACAAATTATGGCAATATTTTGTGTTAGCAAGATCTGAAAACCACTCGCTATCGACCATCGACGCCGTCGACTTCGAGCCAAACATGATGGTTTTTAAATATCATGAATCCTAGTTCCTAATTCAGTAGACATCCTGGATCGTCACTAACCTGCACATAGGTGACGGGGAAGATGCCGATGCGGGTCCCCTTCTGTCCCTCGTACCAGTTGGAGTCGATCTTCCGTCTGATTCGCACCGTCTCCCCGCGCGACAGGCTCAGCTCGCTGAAAATGTGGGACCGGTGATATCAGCAACCGCAGCTGAATAATAGTTAGTCCATGCTAGAACTTTATGTTATAGAGGCTATGTGAATAAATAAAACGTATGTAGGTCAAAATTGGCGAGTTCGCTTTAGCAAGTCATCATCGTTGGTTTAAAAATTTGTATCTTTCATTTTGAAAATTGATATTTAGACAATAATTCATTCAGTAAAGTATTATATTAAATCATTCATATGGCAAACTAGCCATTAAAATAGTCGTTTTTTGCACATATTTCGACATATTTCGCACAACGGATCAAATCACATGTCACTTCTCAGGCAGTCGACGTCCCATTCATATGACGTCACAACGTCGTCACTGACCGGTTGTTCTGGGCGCGGAACTCGTGAAGAACGGATGCGGTCAGCGTCGGCCGGCGGTCATCAGTGACGTCATCAAACAGCCGTTCATACCGATCCAGCGGGATGGGCGACTTCTGGCTGGGACTGAAAGCGGGACATGGGGAAAGCGTCGTAAATACACAAAGTGCCGTGCTCGTATCAAGTATGCACTTCCTTGGCATAAATGGCAACTGCAGTCAGCTTTCCGTCCCTATTCCTAGGGTGATATTAGACCAGATATGCAGCCCGGCCAGACAACTCTTTGTTTGTCAAGCAAAACGTGTTGTCTGCCATTCAGATTCGAGATAGAGCACGTTGATCATTTGCCCTTCATAAAAACGAAATTTACTGCAAAAGATAGGTATATCACTGAAATGCCTCCAAGATGACAGTGTTGTAAAAAAAAAACTCAAGAAAGACCCGAATTTCCCCCTAATCTACCACTCAAACCATGCCCCCTGTTCCCCGTCATTTCTCACGTGAAGTTGTCTCCGTGCCTCCTGCTCTCCCTGTCCTCGGCCTGGCGCTCCTCCTTCCTGCGGCGCGCCTCCTCGTACGCCCTCCTCATCGTGTCCTCCTGCCGCCTGCGAAGCTCGTCTTCCGAGAGCGGCTCCTTCTCCTCCCATCGTACCGGCGAGCGATAGTGGATGTTCACAGCCGCCTCCTGGTACCGCGGCCCGGCCGCTGCGGTCGGAGTCAATAACGGTCAGTGGGGGGTCAATAGAGGTCAGTGGGGGGGGGGGGGGGGTCAGCGGCGGCCGCCTCCTGATACCGCGGCCCGGCCGCTGCCGTCAGGGTCAACAAGGGTCAACGCAGGTCAACGGCGGTCATAGTCACCAGAGGTCATAGAGGGTCTTTGTAGGTCAGCTGGGGCCTCTAGGAAACGGGGGAAGATTTGGAAATGGGACACAGAAAGTATGCTCATATAAATTGTAGCGGGGATAAAAGTACCGAGCTCTGTTAGTGATACACAACAAAGCAGGCCGGTTAGCGCCAACAAAGATAGGTTAGCCACAGCAAGCAAATAAAATACAACAAACACAACAGAAATGTACAAACCGAGTGTCAAACAAATGCTACAAACAATGATGCGTCACTAGACGAATAAAGTGCACCACAAAAGCATGCCTCTGAACGCAACTACTTACGTTGACCTAGATATCACCTAAACGCTCTAATTTTCCATTATTGGGAGCTGGTAATAAAGTAACCTTTTGATTCGAATAACGTACTCCAAAGCAGCTATCTTGATTGACATAAATAAAACCACGTGTGCACCGTGCAGTGTAGGAGTTTGTTTGTTTGTTTTGTTGGGTTAGGCCCTTTCGGTCGACAAGACCATTGCAGAGCCGGAAGGATGATAGGAATTAGGGGGAGACATTGGTCTGGGCAGGCATCCTAGTGAGTCGCCGGGGCTGAGCCCGTCCGAAGACAGGCCACCCAGCCCCAAGGCACTCACTGCACCCGGCTACGGGGTGCGCTCCCTCGGGAGCAGCGGTGCCGCTTCAAGGGAGCAGCCCGCATGAGATAAAGTTGCCTGTCCAGCCCGGTAAGGGGTTGCGGAGTGGAGGAGAAGGATTTCAGTATCCTGAGGATAGAAGCACGGATAGGTGTAGTGTAGGAGTGAACTGTGAACCACAAGAACCGTTTATGGTTTGTTACGGTTTTGAGTTTTCATTCGAATAGTTTATCCAGAGTCGACTCTTATTGACAGAGAATGAGCCGCATACGGTATAATATGTACTCTGTTGTTGCTCTCTGATTGTAATCATACCCCATCACCCGCCCAGCCGTCTGTCCGTCATCTACTCACCGCTGCGACTTGCGCCGTCTCCGGCGGACGTCTCGCCGCCGCGCCGGTGTCCTCCCGGCTGGGTGCAGCATGGGCAGGGTGTTCGGCGGGGTACCGGTCTCGGCAGGGAGCCTGTGGTCGGCGGCGGTGGGTGGCGGCGCGCCCGGGGCCGCGGTAGGGACCGGTACCCGCACGGGGCACTCGGCCCAGTAGAACCACCCGGTGGTCCGGCGTCCGGCACGTACCGCCCAATGGGGCGGTGTATGGACCAGTCCATCTCAGCCGGGCCGCGCCACACGGCTGAGAAATCCGAGCTCTCCGACGGAGGAACTGGTGTCGAGGCCACTACAGACGAGCCGGGCGCGCTGCCGTCAGTGCGTGCCGAGAAGTTGCTGACCGGGCGGAACTCGTCCCGCAGAGCGGGGCCACCAGTCTGGCGCCACACCCGGGTCAGACTCTCCACTTCAGCCAGCTCGGGGCTGGAGGTGAACATCTGGCCGATCAGCGAGACCTCTGGCGGCGGCCGGCGCGACTTGGGCTGTCCCGCGCGGCCGGTAGGGGCGCTGGGGCCAGTGGCAACATGGCCGACAGTTCGGACGCGGTGAGTCGAATCCACCACGCGCTTCACGTTTGTGTCAGCGATGGTCGAAGTCGCTGCGTCCACCTTCATCACCTTAGTCTCCACCACAGGAGCTGGGGTGGGACGCTGTTCGTTTCCTGCTCGCCTCTCTCTTCCCTCAACTCGAGCACCAGCTCCATTCTCGGACAACTTCACAACCACCACGTTCTCCACCTTCCTCTTCCTGCTGCCACTCCTGCTCCTAAACTTCCTGCGCAGACTGCTGAACCCGGACAGCAGCATCTTCTTCACCGAAGGTCTCCGACGTCGCGGTGGATCCGGCTCCGGCCGGTGGTTACACTCGACCTGAGCCTCACCGCTAGCCTCATCCAGGGAGCGAGGTGTGGGGAGAGGCTTCCTCCGTGCATCCGACACGTCCCAAGACAACGACGGTGGCGCGCTGGAGCGGTGAGATGTCTCCCGGGCCTCCCTGCGCAGCTCTGGAGGAATTGGTCTTACACGCGCGCCTGGTGGTCCATCTCCCTCATCACCCATTCCACCATCATCACCAGCAGCAGCTTCAGCAGCAGATCTCAGCTGCTCCGAGACAGTCCGGTGCGGAATGTACTGCATCGAGGCCATGGCGCGCTGGCGCCGCAGACGAGAGCTGCTCGGCAGAGAGCGGAACCCGTCGTCTGGTATGTCCCTGACCCGCGGAGGTTTCTGTACTTGGTTTGGAAGGTGCGGGGACAGGCCGGCGTCAGGTGGCGAAGAGCTCTCTGCTGAGGGCCGTGCCGGAGGAGCGGTGGTTGTTTGGGCAGACGTCATCGGCCGTCCAACACGCTCCTCGCGGAGTCGACGAAGGCGCTCCGATCGTTCCACTAGCTGGTGGCGGTCCTCACCAGCCGCCGGAGGCTGCGACGAAGCCGAGGACGATACGGAGGGCAGTGTTGTGGACCGCGATCTCAGGGAGTATGATGTGTGAGACCGTACAGGTGGCTGCGGAGGCGGCGGTCGTACCGGCAACACGTTACTCAGGCCGCCTAGGTCTGTGACCTCAACTGAGTACCCGGATCGGGTTGAGGTGGGGCTGGTGACGTCTCGTCTCGGCCCGTCAGCGCTGTGAAGCTGTTGCAGCTGCTGCCGCAGTCTTCCCACCTGCGACTGGGTCAGGGTTGAGCTGCAGGATCCGCGGCGCGACTGAGACGCTGACCTCGAGCGGGGCTCCGGGCGAGCGGGGGACTCTGATTGAGCAGCGAACATCCGCTTCAGGTCCTCCACGGACCTACCGCGGAACCTGAGACCCACGTCTCCGGACCAGCGGGCGCTGGCCCTGCTGCGGTCCCCAGCGCCTTGCAGCTCCTGCTGACGCTGCCGCTGCTGCTGCTCCAGCTGCTCCAGTAGGGACCGCACGTGGCCCTCAGCCAGCTGGCGCAGCTCGGCCGCCGGCGGACCCGTCTCAGTCAGCCTCTGCAGGGCCTGGAAGTTCGGCTTCAGCTGCTGGAAGCCGGCTGAGCGGCGACTGAGACGCAGCAGACGCACCACGCCCGCCCGATATCCCTCCGGCGAGTCCTCGCGAGTGCCGGCGCCGGGCGACAGCAGGGTGTCCCTGAGGAGCGCCAGCTCGGCCTCGTCGCCGGAGGGAGACGACCCAGAACGCCGCCGGTCCAGGGACCCTCCAAAACGGTCCGGGGTCACGGAGGACCTGCGGAACCGGTCCAGGGTGGCAGAGGAGACCCCGGCGCGCGGCGGGCCGTGGAAGGAACGCTGAGGCAGCCGACCCCTTCTGTCCATGTCGTACATGCTGGAGGCATCGTATCGCCGCCTCTCTGACACAGCACATTCTTTGATATCGTTTCTTTCAACCGTCTCAGATCCCGTGCGCTGTTTTTGTCCAACGTTGGAGGCCTGGTTTGATTCACTCTGACTAGGCGCTGTCACCGAAGTTCCTTCCCTGCCTTCAGCACTTACGTCCCTCCTGGACGCCTGCTCCTTCAGAGCGGAGGACCCGCCTCCGTACCTTCTGACCAGTTCTGCCGACACCATGCCGATGGCGCGGGATCCCGACGCCGATCGACTCGGCGGACTGTGGGACGCAGAACTCACGTAACCGGTCTCCTCGCTGGCAGACGTGGCGTGACTCAGGTCGTGGGCGTCGGGACTGGGCAGGTTGGAGGACGGTAAAGGAAGCTCAGCCGTGAGTGAGAGCTTTTCGCGAGTGATTGCAGCGCTGATGGACTCAGACTCTCCAGTGGGTTCCTTCCCGTCAGTCTTTGTAGCGCGTCCTGAAGACACTTCATTCGAAGAAAATTCCACCCGTTTCACCGTTGTTTCACTCAGTGTATACGTCTTGTTAGCAGTTTCTTCAGAATCTGTCACATCCTGTTTCTTTGTCTCCATTCCGACAATCTCCACACCACTATCATTATGACCGACATGCTGCTCAGCATTTTGGTTGTTATCAACAGTGTTAGCATCCCGACTGGCCTCGGATTGCTTGCGTTCCTTCTGTTTCTCGGTCCCCGCCTCTTTGGGAATGGCAGCCCGACTGAAACTCGGTGGCGGTGATTTCGCTGTCACCGACAGCTTGGCCAAACTGCTCGGAGGTCGGAACAAGGACGGATCGCTGAGCTTAGGCTGCGAACTGCGGCGACAGGAGCCGCTGGCTGACTCTGCATCGGACACCGCAGAGCACCGAGATCGCTTCCGACACGAGGCAGGCAGGGAACACGTGGCAGGTGAGGCGTTCCTGGATATTGGCGAGGTTACTCTGGAATCAGGAGTTGTTACCCTGGAGTCAGGAGATATGACGCGAGCCTCCGGAGAGGTGACCCTGGAACCAGGAGAGGGTGTTACTCGCATACCAGGAGATGTGACCCTCGTAAAAGAAGTTTTGCTACTGACTGATGCTTTTCCTGTTGCACTTGTGGATGCTTTTGCTGTGGTTACTGTCGCAGGCTTGCCATTTTCTGAAGACGGCGACACTTTCCGTAATCCAGTCTGAACTTTGGCTGCTACCGCTTTCCCACCCGAAGCCGTCAGTTTCACACTGGCCCCTCGGGAGAACGATTTCTCCTCCGCAGCTTCCTTGATGGTGGGCTGCGAGCTGGCGAAGCTCTGGGATTTCTTGAGGGGCGCAGGTCGGGTTAGACGCTCCACCACCGGCGCTGAGGACTTTCTCGTTGTGGGCGATGGGCGCGAGAGCCGAGGCATGGACTTGGATAGGTTCTGGGGACTGTTCCAGCCAAGCTCTCGTTTCCGCTTCTCTTCCTCTGTCAGGATTGTCACTCTGGACTGCTTACGCGGCAGGCTCTCGGCTCTAGAAGAAGTTCTCAGTGCGCTGCTCGGTCTCGGAGTCGCTGAGGCTGAAGGTGAGGCCAGTGAAGGTGTGCTGACTGCGGCAGTAGGTACTGCCGACATACCCCCTAGCCCTTCCTTTCGGTCCACATCAGCAGCACTCGCCGGTCGCCGCAGAGGTTTGGCCCGCCCCGAGTCCCGCAGCAGGAAAGTGTTGCTGGTCACCGCCCTCCGCTGGCTGAGACGCTCGCGTTCCCTGCCGGACCGGGGCAGGGTGGACCAGCCGCCTGAGGCGCCGGATGAAGACAGCTGGCGGCTCAGCTGACTGACCCGGGTCGGCAGTTGACTGCGCTGACCGCTGCTGCGTCTTGAGCCCCCGTCTTCACCTTCCCCGGAGGTCTGCGATGTCGTGTCAGCCATGACGGGTGTTTTCTCCTCGCCGCGCCTCAGCAGTCGCTCCCGTCCCTCCGACTCGGGGACAGCCTCCACCGGTCGGTGCTCGGCGACGGTGTCGCCATCTGTCGCTGCACCTTGCGTCATAGTTTCTCAATTCGGCCGTCACTGACTGCCTTGCCACCTCCGCTGTGAGGAGAAGACAGCGTCGAATGTTGACAGCCAAGACAAAAATATCCGATCAGAAATATGTCCTTTTTCGTCATGATCTGACCACTAACTGGTCCACATCTATACGCAGATTTTCCCATCGCCAAGTGAAAAATAAAGAGGGGATAAGAAGATAGGGAAGAAAAGAGGGGAATGCGGGATTATAATGCTACTACCATCACCGTGGAATCTTTATTGCTTCAGCTTGTGCAGCATCTCGTTGAGACCGAGATGAACCAATAGTTCTGGTTCTGGCATGCAAATGTTCCATGATCAGAAGGCTAGGATTCAAAATTCATCGTCTAGACTGCATTTTCCAGCATACCGTAAATGAAAGCAGCGTACATGTGTAAATGAAATCCATCAGAAACATCGAAAGGGACAGGCGAACGAAGAACTGCATTCTGTTTGTTTAATTACTTCGGATCGCACATCCAGTGTCGAAGATTCCGCCACCTCGAGTGCATAGTGACATCCAAGATAAGACCCGGTCACCTCAATGACTGCACTGTTGGAGACCGTAGCTGCGCGTTTCAAGATTTTTGGAGGAAGCTGGCAAAGTGGAAAGAGCAGTTGCAGGTCACATCTCGACGACTCAGTGCTGTTCAGCATAATGAGGAATGCATCTCATTCAATGCAGTTGCTTTGAAAACGCTGGGAGAAACGCGAGTGCAGTGTCGCGACTTGCCCACTTCCAGCATTACTTACTCTATTTGAATCGATTTATCTCTCATATATGCACATTGCACACACATCCCCATGATCAATACCACCTCATCATGCTTCAGCGCTCAGCCTTTTTTCATTCGGCATGCAGGTCAATTGGCATTTGCAGGCCAATTCGGCATTTGGTGCGGTGTAGAAGCAAGTCACGATAAACAATACCAGCCATTGATGCATGCAAAAGCTCAAATTCGGAACAACATGCTGAGGTGAATAGGCAGCTTCATACTACAAAGCACAGGACACATAATGCGTGGGGATTGAACACATTTCATTACATTTTAGCGTAAAAGTGATGATAAAAACCAATATACACGGTGTAAATAACAACAACATGTAACTATTTTGTAAGCAGCGTTGTTCACGCTAAAATAACACAACATTTCTAATTTTCAGAAACTTGGAGGAAGATCCTTATCTCTGTTAAAAATCCTTGCAAGACTATTTGAATGAATCGGAACGCTGATATGACCTATTAAAACAAATGCAATATCATTCGAAATCCGACACTGTAGCTGCTCCCCTCACGGGCCCAGGACGGGCGACCGGGACTGACCTTTGGGCCTCTCGGGCGCGGGCTTCCTCAGTCCAGAGAGGGGCACCTCCCCGCCGCGCTGGATCTGGTTGTAGTACGAGCGCTGCTCGCCAGATGTCAGTGCCGGCGGCTCGTTGCGGTGGTATACCAGGGTGGAGTCTGACTCGTACCCGTCCAGGCCCCTGAGAAACAGCGACGCAGCGTGCTGGCTTTACAACTACAATGACGATGCAGTTTATTGGGAGATAGGAGACAGAAACATCTATGTCGACAGTGTTCGTAAAACTAAGCTGATAAACGTTTTACTGGTGCTATGATCTAAAGCAAAGAGAGTAGATATACATACACCGTTCCGTGCTTCTATCCTCAGGATACAGAAGTCCTCCTCCACGCCGCAACCCCCCTCCGGGCTGGACAGGCAACTTTATCTCATGCGGGCTGCTCCTTTGGAGCGGCACCGCTGCTCCCGAGGGAGCACACCCATTGCCGGGTGCAGAGAGTGCCTTGGGGCTGGTCGGCCTGTCCTTCGGGATGGGCTCAGCCCCGGTGACTCACTAGGGTGCCTGCCCAGACCAATGTCTCCCCCTATATCCTATCATCCTTCCGGCTCTGAAATGGTTTGAACCGAAAGGGCCTAACCCAACAAAACAAAACAAGTAGATATAGCATCTACTATCTTCTAAATGGAAAATGAGCTATGGTGGTGAAAAAACGCAAAAGAGAAAAGACAAGGGTGTTAAAAGAAAATGTGTTCCTCATATGGTCTGATGAAAGCGAGTTCCAGCGCCTAATTGCAAATATCGAAGCATGTAGGAGATTCGCTGGCTAATACGAGACGCATCTATACGACAATGACAAAAAATAATGCGGAAGAGAGCCAGAAAAAGAGGATGAACTGCACTAAATACGGGTTGAACGCCGCATCGCGACATGGAATGACATTAGTCACAGTGTGACAAGGACTTCACAACTGCTATCGGCAAAAGTACCAAGAATGTTAGCATCATTCAAAACATTAACAAACGAGCAAACATCATCTGAAACTATTGGCTGACAAAAGCATTATCCATACGTAGGTATAAAGAGCAAAGCAATATCGTAAAACACTAAAACCACTGAATATAGGCTTTGTCTGAAAAAAAAATCAGTCACTTGTGAGAAGCAAGTTTCCTACTTTCGTTAGACCAATGCCGGCGACAGAATGAGGCCGAGAGGTAAGCGGGCAGGCCAGTGGAATCACCGTTCATTGAATACATAAATGGTAGGACGAATGTAGGATAAAAAAGCTCCGTCGATATCCATCATATGTCGGCTGACAATGCTGCATTACAATATAAAAATGCATTATGAATATTACGCAGCAATGTACAAACAAGAAATGGGACTCTGCTCTACTATCATAATATACATGTATGCTGTTAAACGTGTTTATCACTCAGGTCATGCGTGTAAGCCACGTTTAAATGACGTTTAGAGACACACGAGGCTTGGTAAATGTTCCTAAATTCACACAATATCTACAAGTAATTCCAAATACCTGTTCATGTATCTATACACCTCTGACTTGTGACTTTTGGCGGCAGTGCCGTTTTGCCGAGGGGTGGAGGAGTCGTCATGTTCATCTCTTCAGCAACACGAGACACAGCGTCAGGGACATATTGACGACTGGCTGACTTCACGACAGGGCAAAGCCATTCATGAAGCACTCAGTGACAGTTTATAAGCATACGTTGTGAGAGGACAGTGACTTTGATGGCTTCATTTGTTATACCTTGTTGCAGCCCTATTCGATGAACTGCAATTGCTTTGTCATTGAAATATAAAAAGTGGACAATGACGATAGTGTTACTGAAGTAGTACTTACCGCGGCACGTAATTCGAGTTATTCCCCGGAGGGGCAGCCTGATTAGCAGCCTGGAACAGAGACCCGACCCCGGTCAGATAGGGAACGGATGTGAGGCCGAAAATGGCAACATACAACAAACGATGGAAATGTAGTAGATGCCGGTAAAGGCAGCTTGGATAACTTGGCATTTACCAGATTAATTCATATGTTTAGGAGGATTTTAGTGGTTAGACTTTGGTTAGAGGTTAGACGTTAGACGAGCATGATAATCAGCAAATAGCAGTTGTAATATTATGTGTGCTGGCAAACAAGAGGTAAGTTTTATTGTCAATGCACAAAACACACTTAGTTATTTGAGCTGTCGCTGAGTGATTACCTCTGCCTCTTCTTTGTTCGTATCCTCCTTTAGTAAGAGGCAGCAAGGGGAACAGAAAGCGCGTTATGCAGTGTACGAAGTTAAGCGCACTATGTTGGATGAAAAAAAACTGTATCGATATTTAATAAATATTTTTTTTTCTGTTTAAATATTTATAAACTATTTAAGAGACCGTTTGAATATCAATTTGCTTTCGGAAATTTCAGAGTTCAGAGTAATCAGAAATACACGTTGAAAAAAGACAAGATGGTGAAATGGAGTGAAAAATATAAAAGAAATACATTACAAGGCCAGAATATAACATCAGGCTCATTTTATCACATAGAAAATTAACATGAGTTGATTAAATATGCATGATGACGTAATTTTAATTTACGTATGGAACCGGTCTTTACGAATCGTCATGCAAATCGTGCAACGCTGATCAGTGGGCAACAAGATGGTTTTTGCAGTCATAGGGATTAATTGAAGTTGTGCATTATTTGATGACAAACATCAACATATGTACAGGCATCGGTAGGATTGTGATTGCAGGATTGCAAAATCCTGATTGCATTCCTTTTTGGTGGATTGCACCTGGATTTGAAATCCATTCCAAAAAACAGGATTTGATTGCGGATTGGATTGCATCATACTTCCAATTTTTGCAATCCAATCCGGATTGTGTTTGATTAGTGCTTTGAAATGGTTTGTTGCGATTGAAAATTGTGAGATCGGCTTCTTCGGCTTAATGTACGTTGCTATCAAGGGCTTTACATTGAAACTTGAAATGATTTAAACGCTTTTAATTTAAACGCTCAAAATAATATACGCTGATGAACTACATAGGAAGGGCAAAATTACGTATTTGAGGGCGAGTTTTAAAAATATAAAACACTGGTTGGATAGAGGTTTAAATGTGGGGGTGTTTAATGCAAAAAATATTTCCCATAAAATACCTGTGCCTTAGATGGGAAGTACTCGCAAGACTAGGTACTAGAAATGGGTGATTTGGGAATGGAAGCACGGCCCTATTATGCCCCCCTCCCTCCTCCAGATCCACTAGTGCACATAATAATACAACAGGATTGCAAAAAAGGATTGCGGATTTGATCACAATCCAAGTGAAAAAAGGGGATTGCGGGTAGGAATGCAATCCACTTCGGCACTAGGAATGTGGATTGGGAATGCAATCCTTTCAAAAAGGATTTTACCGATGCCTGCATATGTATGCAACAAACAATACACTTTTTCAAGGCAGCATGAATGTAGGCACACAAATGACACAATATAAAGCAGCACAGGGAATAATCAAACCAGATTAAAAAAAAATTCAGGCCAAGAGCGGAAAACATTAGCGGCACTAGCAGCGGCAGCAGCGGTGCCTGGAAAAATCCCGATGCCCAGCCATCATGCGGCAGCGTCCACACACGGCGGTGAGTGAGTGAGCGCGGGTGAGTGAGTGAGTTTCGAGTAACTGTCCCGGCGCCAACTCACACTCCTCA